CAGACATATAAAAATATGTGTATATATGTGTTGTGTATATCTTTTTATCATATAAAGTTATCGTAGAATATCAGAAATCATGAAAATAAAGAAAATAATCATCTCATAACAAATTATAGTTGATTTAATAATAGCTTGACTTTAATCTAATTTTAAAAATAAAGTATTTTTTAAGTTGATTTTAAAAATTGGAAACGGATACGGATATATCCGATATCCGACCGATATCCGACGGATGCGGATACGGTTTTGATTTTCAGTATCCGTCAAGATCCGTATCCGAATTCGATATCCGACAAAAATAAACGGATGCGGATTTGGTAATGGCACATCCGATCCGATTAATATCCGTTTACACCCCTATCGAATTTTTTTTAGATATATAAATCAATACAAGGAATTTAAAAAAATGCTTAAGTTTAGAAAAAGTAATATAATTATGCAATATCATTAAAATTTGGTTTGAAAATATAAATTTATACATTAGAAACGAGTAGTAAAGTGTATGATTTTGAAAAACTCTTACTTTAGCGGGTCGGTCGGGTCGAGTTCGGTCAACTTCGGGTTCGGTCATCAAAATGTTTGTTCAAAACCCAGTGTTTTCAGGTCGGGTTTTGCGTCAAAAAAACATCAGATCATTTTTTCCCACGTCTAGTTTTAAACAATGTTTAGACTCCACTAAATACCTATATATAAAAGATTCTCATATCAAATTATTTGAGAATCCATGTTTTTTATGCTCATGAAAAGATCAAATAAATATGGGCGAATATTCAAGCAGTAGACCCCTCTTCCCACCACGAAAGTTAAAGGTACCAAACTCTTAATTAATTACTACCTCCGTCCCATTTTATAATGCCTGTTTCGGTTTACGATGTTTGACTGAAATTATTTTCAAACCATTTTATATGACAAATGATATAGAATTAAAAAATAAAAATTGCATATTAAAAAACTACATCAAAAGATCTACAAAACTAGTAGTGACAATAATATTTTATTTTATCAAATTGCTAACGAAAATAGAGAAAGAAAGTGAATGAAGTTTGACCCTGTGAATAGTAAACAAGCATTATAATTTGGGACGGAGGGAGTAGCTTACTTTAAACACTTTTTGATCTTTCCAAATTATTCTGTAAACTAGTATTTCTACCAGTGCGGTGCACGGGGTCGACGAAATTTTTGTCGATTCTGATTTTTTTTTAATGCAATATATTTTCCGGATCAAATAAATATATTTCTAACACGATTTTTTATCATTGGACAAAAACACCAAGGTAGAATAAATAATATTTGAGGAATTGAAAATATACTCAAAAATGTCTTTTTTAATTCCAAACATGTTGGCATGAAGAATAAGAAATTAAGTACTACTTTTCACCTCATGGAATAAAGGATAAGACAAATTCATTTTCCATTCAACAACTTCGAGCACGGGTGTCAATAGTGCACTATCTTTAAAAAAAGAATATAATAGTTTTTTATGTTCTCGAATAAGTTTGGATAAGTGAAGTTCACTATATTCTTGAGGAATAACTTGTGTTAAGAATCAAGATCTTTAACTATTAGAGCACCAACTTCATGTATTGTGGAGATATTATAATTTCTTGAGTCTCTTGTTTTACTTGTCAACAACATCAATGATACATTAGAAGTAGGCTCATTATATATGAAAGATTACTTCTCAACCGTCTCAATGATACATTAGAAGTAGGCTCATTATCCATGAAGTCTTTAGTTCTTCTAAATATCTGTGTTAAAACATTATGCTCATCTACTATATTTTTCAAATATTTGACCAAACTTTTATCAGTAGTCAAAGAATTATTCTCCCTACTGTGCGAAACAAATAGAACAATTTGTTTTTATTAGCATGTTAATAATGTTCCATGTGTATTATATTGTCAAACACATGCATGTAAATAATATTTTTATTAAAAGGGTGTACTCAATAAAGTATTCGAGATACCTAAAATGAGTTATTTGTTTTCATATCTCGTTCTGTATGCCATAAATATACAATTGTGTAAACTTTGGTCTTTCACCATATTGTGACATTAAACATGGTAGTGATGATGAATGTGTCCGCTGAGAGTACATTATTGCTCAACCATTATTGTGAGATATATCAATATTTTCATTTATAAATGTTAATGAAAACATACAGTTGTATTTATTTAAATTTTTCATGGTAATGAGAACTTTTCACACCAAAACCATAAAATAAATTATAGAGCAAATTAGATGGTTTTCTTTAGAAGACACAATTAAACTTTTTCTTTTATGCAATAAATTGAAAACTTTAGATGTTTTGAATCTTTATTCATTTGATTCTTTCTTCATAGTTCATGTCATAACAAAGTTTTCCAAAATTCACACATAAATGCAAGATTCCCAAAATAGATTGTCTCTAAAGGAAAAATAAAATATGATGTAGGCAGTCTTTTATATATATTTTGTTACATTGTTTATAATATTTTATACAAAAAGACAATAGTTGTATTATCATATTCAAAGAAATTAGTAGAATGGGTTTAAACATAGATCAATTCTCTTTTGTTTCTTATGCACTAAGCGCGATGAAGCGTGTGTATAATTGTTTCGTGGTTGGAAAATTATAGATGATTTTTTGGGAAATATGTATTGGAACGTGTTTGCAAAGTACATTCTTTCTCGAACGTGTTCGATGATGCGAGTTTATAGCCGATGATGATCCATCTCCTTCTGTATTTGTAATAAGCATCATAAAATAAATATTATAATTTTTTATCTAAAAACTT